ATAATAACATACAGAATTGAGAATTTTTGATGACAATTTAATATAATTTTTTTTTTCAACTTTGTTATATATTTGAAATTAATAAAAGCTCTTTAACGATTTGACAACATGGAAAGTGTATTAATAACACTATTTTCTTCTTATTTGCAGGCCAATTATGTATCCGACTTGTTTCAAAAGCCCAACACAAAGACCTATTTGGCGCGTACAGTGCAAGACATGAATGCATCGCCAGCACAGGGAATTACGATTACTTCAAACTAACCCGCAGAAGTGCAAAATATGAATTATAAGTTCCACGCGTTGTAGCCGAACATTTTTGGAGGATTTCATTATCGGGACAGTGAAGCCTAGCTTTGCGTTAACCTAATTAATGTATTCCTGTACTGGCATTTTAAGAGCTGAGTGTGATTAGCTGGAAGTGCACTGAAGTGCCTTCTTTAATATTTAAACTAGAGCAATTGATGTGTAGAGTAGCTATTTTACTATACTAAATATTTTAAGCTGACGCAACAATTTCCACAAATCAAGTGACCTTCAAAACAGAGCTGCGCAAAAAAAAATGAAAGCAATAAGTATTATGTAGCTAATTTTAAGCTTTGAAAACGATAAGGTAATTAAAATATGTTTAAATGGTAAATTTAATATGTTAATTTATAATTTTTAGCGAGAGTTGACCTGTTTTTCGCTGAAAATATGAAAATAAAATATAATTAAGAAATAAATGGATGTGGTATTTTTATTTAAAGGAAAAAAGAATATCGAGTTTTGGGATGCAAATATATGTTATAAACTTGCGAAAACAGAGGGAGATGCTTAAATAATAGAAATATTAAAGAAAACTCGATGTTTACCTTTTATACATGGATTAGGTTTAAAATTTGCAACAGCTACGCAAAAAAAGAATTTATTTTAGAAATGTACGTTTTGAATTTTTGGTATATTTAATATTTACTCAATAAATACCATACCATCCATATATAAATTCCAAACCATCGGTATTTTTAAGTGGTCGATCAACGGTCACACTGCAGTATTTGTACACAATAAAAACCGGCTCGTTTTTTCGCTGAAAAAGGTAATAAACTTAAGTTGAATCAGGCAAAAGTAACAATTAGAGTAGTTGACTGACAAAGAAGAAGTTTAATCTCACCTCGAGTCTTGGCTAAGACAGGAATGACCAGAAATCGCGATATCCGCACCGCACCCATGACGTGTCACTCGCCCACTTCGTTCTAATCAATTACTTTGTTTTTAACCATAGGACGTTTCTCTCTCCAAAATGATCACCGACGTGCAATTGGCCATTTTCTCCAACGTGCTGGGCGTGTTTCTGTTTCTGCTGGTGGTTGCCTACCATTATATCAATGCCAACACCGGAAAGTTAGTAATCAATGCAGTAAAGAAGAGGAAATCCAGCCAGAAATCAACAATAAAACCGATTCTCGTTTATTTACAGGCCCAGCGCAAAGGCAAAATGATCTAGGATGTTTCCGCTAACAGACTAATGTAGTTGTACCAGGATAATGATAATGCTGCTTCATTCGCAAAATAAATAGTTGTACAAATCTAATCCAGGATATCGTTAATGGCCTCCTTCATGGCCTGGACATCGTCCAGCGTTTCGCCAGATCTCTGATCCTTGCGAGTGTAGAAAGTCCTGTGCGTTTGATGTCCAAAGCTGAAGGCCTTGACGTAGGGCAAACTTCTAGTTTCCACGGGCACCTCGTCCACCTCCATGGAGTTGGGTTTGCTTCTGGGTTGATGCTTCTGCTTGCCTCTATTCTTGCCCTGATCAAAGCGATAGTTGGCCGGAAGCTTGTGCGTTATGATGCAGTGATCTTTGCGCTGTCGGGGAGTATGGAACTTGATGGTGCATTCCTCCAGAAAGCAGGAGAACATTGGCTTGTCACCTCGCTCCACGCTGGCGGCAAAATAACAATCGTGCTGTTCGGTGATGTGCAGGTCCAGTAAATGGGCAGTGGGCAGCACTTTTCGGCATTCTGCGCAGCTGTAGGACTGATCTTTATCCCTGATTCTAACTCCCTCATCCTGGTCGCCCACGATGTCATCGACTTCCACGAGAACTCCAAGCTTCTTGAAGGGAGGCAGACTTGGTGCGGGCGGATCCGTGGGCCTTATGAATCCCGCTGGCACTTCGCTCAGTATCTTTAGGATTTTCTCTCTGGAGAGATATCCTACTCCCGCAGCTTCCGAATCCATTTTGTTTGTGTCCCCAAAATGTTTTGTTTTGGTTTCGACAAGTGATTTAATATGTTTCCACTGCACTGCGTCTTGAAAGTTGTGTGTTTTCCTTTTTTATAAAATGTAAAAGAAAAGTATTTTTTACTTTGAAGTTCAGAATGCGGCTTACACTAAATGAAACCGTAAATTGCTTAACTTTCAATACAAACCTATGTGTGTCCGTGTAATGTTTTCGAATTATATTTACAGCACATTTTAAAAGCGTTTAAGTAAGAGCGTGGTATTTACTGACGAAATGTTGCCACATCGCCAGATTTAGACAAAGCTTTCGAAGCGGTGGCATCGCCGTGCAGCACATGTGAACCTAAACTGGTTCCACCTAAGAACCGGTTCTTTTTGGAATACGAAGCTGACACCGCGTGGTGTTTTTGCTGTCGATTCCGCATTTATTTTCCTTTCGTCGCGTGGAAAATAAACAGATCCTGCCAAGATGAGTCTGTACAACTTCAAGAAGATCATGGTGGTTCCGCCAGCCAAGGTAAGTGTCTACGGGAGCGCCCGTCCCGCGGAGCACCCCTTGGAGCCCCGACATAACCTCACTGCAGGTGTTTACCAAATGCGCAATATGTAAATAATGTCTGGTTTTTCTTTTTTTTTTTCCACAGGACTTCATCGACATTATGCTGTCGAAGACACAGCGCAAGACCCCGACTGTGGTTCACAAGGGCTACAAGATATCCAGAATCCGGGCGTTCTACACCCGCAAAGTGAAGTACACGCAGCAGAACTTCCACGATCGCTTGTCGCAGATCATTCAGGACTTCCCTAAGCTGGACGATGTGCATCCTTTCTACGCCGACTTGATGAACGTGCTGTACGACAAGGACCATTACAAGCTGGCGCTGGGTCAGCTCAATACAGCCAGGCATTTGGTGGACAAGTGAGTGCCCCAGCCACAGACCCTTAAATCAGTTCGATTAACTACTCTTTTATCCTTCAGTGTGGCCAAGGACTATGTGCGCCTGCTGAAGTACGGTGATTCGCTGTATCGCTGCAAGCAGTTGAAGAAAGCTGCCCTGGGTCGCATGGCCACCATTATGAAGCGACAGGCCTCCAACCTGACGTATCTGGAGCAAGTGCGCCAGCATCTCTCGCGTCTGCCCACAATCGATCCCTATTCGCGTACCATCATCATCTGCGGTTTCCCCAATGTGGGCAAGTCCTCGTTCATCAACAAGATCACCCGCGCCGATGTGGAGGTGCAGCCCTACGCATTCACCACCAAATCCCTGTACGTGGGGCACACAGACTACAAATACCTGCGCTGGCAGGTCATTGACACACCTGGGATCCTGGATCATCCCTTGGAAGAGCGCAATGTGATCGAAATGCAAGCCATCACTGCCTTGGCTCATCTGCGTGCCTGTGTTCTGTACTTCATGGACATTTCCGAGCAGTGCGGTCACTCCTTGGAGGAACAGGTCAAACTGTTCGAGAGTATCAAGCCTTTGTTTACAAACAAACCCCTCATCCTGGCCATCAACAAGATCGATATTCTAACACCCGATGATCTGCCAGAGGAGAGAAGGGCGATTATCACCAAGCTGCAGGAGGACAAAAACATTCCCGTAATGCTCATGTCCACCGTACAGGAAACTGGCGTCATGGAGGTGAAGACCGAAGCATGTGAGCGCTTGCTTTCGTACCGCGTGGACCAGAAGATGCGTACGAAGAAGGTGGACAACATCCTGAACCGCTTGCATGTGGCCATGCCAGCGCCGCGAGATGACAAACTTCGTTCACCCTGCATCCCAGAAAAGGCCTCGGCGCGCCTGCAAGAAAATGCCGAAAAGGCAGAGCGCAAGCGCAAGCTGGAGAAGGAGATCGAGGAGGAGATGGGAGACGACTACACACTGGACCTCAAGAAGAACTACAGCGAAATCCCCGAAGAGGAGCGCTACGACATTATCCCAGAGTTCTGGCAGGGCCACAACATTGCCGACTACATCGATGCCGACATCTTCGACAAGCTGGAGGAGCTGGAGCGCGCGGAAGGACTGCGGGAGGAGAGCGGCATTTACACAGTGCCCGATATGACCATGGACGAGACGCTCAAGGAGATCCGCGAGATGGCCAAGCAAATCCGTGGCAAGCGCTTCGAGCTGCGCGACGAAAAGCGACTATCGTCGCGAAAGAACAAGCCAGTCATCCCACGAAACAAGCAGCCCAAGGTGCGTGATCGTTCCGTACAGAAGCTGGTGTCGACGATGGAGGGCCTTGGTGTGGACATGTCCGGCAGCGAGAACGCCAACTTCACCAAGTCCGTGGTGGATCTGCGTCGTGGCCAGGTGGCAGTTGGCTCCAAGAAGGTGCCCATGCAGCCGCTGCTCGACAAGGAGTCTTCTGCGGTGGTCAGGAAGACTGGTCTGCCTCTGAAGCGGGCGCCGTCGCGCGACACACTGGGCATCAAGAACTTGGCCATTCGCAAGAAGGCTCAGATCATGGCCAAGCGGGATATTGCCAAGAAGGTCACAAGCAGGGGTCTCAAGGGCGAGGCGGATCGCTTCATCGGCACAAAGATGCCGAAGCATTTGTTCTCCGGCAAGCGTGGAAATGGCAAGACCGATCGCCGTTAAGCGCAGCAGCCTTGGCTGGTTAAGTAATTCTACCTGGTGGGTTCGCCTGCTCCTCTGTATAAACTAAGCGACTTATCTTTATCCCTCATAACATTTTAAAATACAAGATTGTATTTTTACAAGCTGATCAGTGTCTACTTTTTGGCTTACTCAGTATACTTCGGTGGAAGTATTTTCACTTTTTAACCAAACTTTTGTTTAACCATCAAAACCATAGAGCCTTGCCTTCTGGGAAAGCTCATATGAAAGGGTGACCACATCAAAAGGATTATTGTGTTCATCAAAAACAAAGTTTACCCCTATTGATATATTCTACTTTCTTGCTTCACCTTGGCAACGAAGAAGTTTGTTTGGATTTCACCAATTTTCTTGTCCAATGAGTACAAGTTTTTCGGCACAGCAACATGTCCAAAGCCACCACAATTAAGGAGGCCCTGAAGCGCTGGGAGGAGCGGGAGCAGCAAAACTCCCTGACTGCCAAGGTTATTGATCTGCAATTCCAGTGGCCACCCATCGAAAAAATGGACAGCACATTGGGCACGCTGGTGCAGTGCGAGTGAGCTGAAAAGTTCCTAGTTCTTCGAGGAGAAATACATCTTTTTGTTTCCCCCAGGAGAATCAGCATGTCTACAAATATGATTGAAAAGATATTCGGCCTATCGGGCATGAAATGCCTCAAGGTTTTGTCTTTATCCCGAAACTACATTAAGCAGATATCGGGACTGGTAAGAGAAAGTAGAAGCAATCCTTCAGGACTTCATTGGCTTCTTTTATGTAGGAGGCGGTGGCTGAAACCCTGGAAGAGCTGTGGCTCAGCTATAACCTAATCGAGAAAATTAAGGGATTGACTGGTCTCAAATGCCTAAAGGTGCTGTATATAAGCAACAATTTAATCAAGGACTGGTCGGAGTTTAATCGCCTGGCCGAGATCGAGTCCCTCGAAGACCTAGTGGTGGTGGGCAATCCCCTGTCCGAGGGATTAGACGAGCCCACTTGGAGGGCGGAGTGCATCAAGAGACTGCCCACAATCCGTAAACTGGACGGCGAACCAGTCGTGCTCAACGAGGAGCCTCAGCTCTAAAATCGGTGGCTATTCGGTTGTAATGGATGTTGAAGAGATTGGGTTACCCATACGAATAGATGAGAAAATACAGAAAACAGAAACAGGTTTATAATTGCATTTCTATTGAAATATTGCACAATAAATAGAAGCAATGCAAATGTGGTGACGATAATACATGTCTTCTAAGCTTATGCGAAATATTTGTAAAACAGGTCAGTTGGACGAGCAAGAATTGCGGCTTTGGGATGATTCAAATGCCTGAAACCAGATATAGCATAATGGATTAGCTGTTGGATAATACTAATCGTATCTAACCTCCTTGGTGATTTTCAGCAGTCCTTCGTAGGTGTCTCGACCGGACTGATTGACCAGGTTGTGAAACACCGTGGAATCCGAATTAGTCAGCAGTTGATAGGGCGCTCCAAACTCCACAACACTTCCAGCATCCATAACCATCACCTTGTCGGAATCAATGATTGTGTGCAACCGATGAGCAATCGTCAGAACAGTGCAATCCCTGAACTTGCTGCGAATGGTGGCTTGGATGAGGCCATCTGTCTGCGGATCCACATTGGCAGTGGCCTCGTCCATCACGAGAATGCGGTTCTCACGCAGTATGGCCCTGGCCAAGCAGAGCAACTGGCGCTGACCGACACTGAAATTGGTTCCGCCCTCGCTGATTCTGCTCGCCAAGCCCTCAGGAAGCTCCGTCACCGCATCCTTCAGGTTCACGTCCTCCAGGGAGCCCCACAGCTTCTCATCGCTGTACTCGTCGAACGGATCCAGGTTGTATCGCATGGTGCCGGAGAACAGCACGGGCTCTTGGGGTATGATCGAGATCTGTCTGCGCAGATCGTGCAGACCCATGTGGCTCGTGTCCCTCTTGTCAATGAGCACGGATCCGTCGGTATAGGAGAGTCGGAAGAGGGCGTTAATGAGCGAGGACTTACCCGCCCCAGTGCGACCCACGATGCCCACTTTTTCCCTGGCTTGAATGACGAAGCTGAGTGACTTGAGCACGTTCTCCGTCTTCGCATCTGGTGTGTAGCGAAGGCTTAGATCGTTAAAAACGATTTCTCCCTGCTCTGGCCAAGACTTGGGCGGCTTCTCGTCATCCGGCGCTTCCAATATCCCTTCCGGCTCAATGCTCTCGTACTCTACCACTCGCTCCACGGCTGTCATGGTGTTCTCCAGCTCGGCGGATTGGCGTAATCCCCACTGAACCATGCCAATCAGTCCCATGGCCTGTGGAGAATCAAAGGGACTGGCAGGTGATGGTGAATACCTTTGTATGATGGCTCACCTGTGTTATGACCAGACCCACATCAGCTCCGTTGCCCGGCGGAAAGGCAAAGAAACTGAGCGTGATGATTGATATGTAAATCACGCATATGCAGTTCATGCAATAACCAAAAGCCACCGAGGTACTTATGTACATGTAGAATGCCGAGCTGTGCGCATCCTGGTAATTATCGAACTCCTTCTCCAGAACGCGCTGAGCCTCCAAGGCTCGGATGGTTGTTAGGCCGTTGAGTGAGGCAGCCAAGTGCGAGTAAACTGGAGACCGATCTGTGTGAGTACTAAACTAGCATCAATACTGAATGTATTCCATATAACGACCTCATACTTATAGCTTCTATGCGCTTCAAGTCCCTCGAGGTCTTCAGATACAAGTTGCGCAGATGATATAATATTACGGCCATAATAAGAGTGGGAGCAATCAGCAGAGGATTGGCATTGGCTATAACGATGAGTATTCCAGTTAGCCAAAGCGCAATCTGCAACACATCCACCAGGACCACGGGAAGCGCTTCGTCTACTTGGCTCATGTCCTTGGTAAAGCGATTTAGGATGCTGCCGTGCTTGTTCAGGCTGAAGAAATGCATGGAAGCTCGGGAAACTCTATTGAATATGTTGTTGTGCAATCGAATAGACGCCTTCTTGGCGATATTGAACAACAGAATCGAGGACGACAAACTCATGATAACGGACAATATTATGAACAGCGTGTATTTGAATGAATCCATGCTCTTCGAGTCCATGTGCTCCACATCGCCTTGGGCCACTGCAGCGCGCTCCTTCTTGACCCTAAAAATAAATCGATAATATTTCCATTAAGCTCAGTCTTTTTGAAGCAAGTTCTGATCGAGTTTGGCCTGAACAAAGCCAACGAATATGTCGTTCACTAACCAGCAAGTGAGAAAGTAGTCACCTCCAGTGACGGCCACCTGGGTCAACACAGAGCAGGTCAGCATGACAAGAAAAGCAACCAATCCACCTCCGGCCTGAAAATACCTCCTGTACAGCGCCAGATCGATGCTACCTGATTCCTGGCGCTCCACGTGCTCCTTTGCCGAGCTGGACTTTCCGTTGGTCTGCACTGGGTTTACGTTGATGGGGGTGACTTCGTTTGTGGTGTTGGAGCAATTAAGCGCGGACAAGTCTTCCTTCTCCTCGTGGTAATCTGTCCTTGCCAGGCTGCCCAGACTAGTGATTAAGCCCGTTTTGAGTAGGGACTCATAGTCGCCCACAGCCTTGATCTGTCCATTCGCCAAGATCACAATCTGATCGACGTCCTGAAGGAACTGCTCTTGATGGGTGACCAGAACTACCGTGCTGCCCCTTAGGTGATCCTGCACGCACTGCTTGAACAGGTGACGGGCTACGCTGGCGTCTACTGCACTAAGTGGGTCATCCAGGAGGTAGATAGACGCCTTCCGGTATACACTCCTCGCCAGACTGATCCTGGCTCTCTGGCCACCCGACAGGGAAGCTCCGCGCTCTCCAACAATGGTATTGTCCCTAAGGGGAAGCAGGTCGAAGTCCCGCTCCAGAGCACACTTCCTTACAACCTCTGCGTACCGCTGGCCATCCAGCGGCTGGCCAAAGAGGATATTCTGGCGCACAGTGCCGGAGAAGAGCCACGACTCCTGGGAGGCGTACGACACGGAGCCATTTACTTCCAACTGGCCGGACTCCGCCTTCAGCTCGCCGAGAATGGCCTGCATGAGACTAGACTTACCAGACCCAGTCAGTCCGATTATGGCCACCACATTGCCAGGCTTAATCTGTAGGTTAATCCCACTGAGCGTGTAGTCTGGTGACTTTGCATCCCATTTGGCCTTTAGGTCCCTAATGGAGATAGCTGCCTCTAGAGGAACGGTCTCGGGTGGATCTGCTGCCGCATCCTTGGGGGCACGTTCACTTTTGTCCGGGTTATTCAGCTCTTCGGACAGCATAAACTGCTCCACGCGTTTGATAGAGGCCAGGATCTGGGCCGTCTGGATGATGGCCAAAGGTACGCAGATGCACACGGCGCCTAGCAGTACGTTGTAGTAGGCGGTAATCATGAAGGCGATTTCCGGCGTTAAGACCCTTTCCAAGATAACGTAGCCAACCAGACTGAGGAAGATGGCCACCCGGGAGAGGGCGATTCTGCAGGCGAAACCGAATCCCCGTATGTACTGTCCTTGGCGAATAGTGTGCATCTCCTTTTCGCGGGCATCAGTGACCATCTGTTCAAAGGGCTGCTCCCAGGCATACATCTTCAGCACCTGAATGGCGGAGATAATTTCATTCACCATCCGAATCCGGTTGTCCGTCCGTTCGGCAGCTTTCAGTTGGATCGCAGAGGTCTTAGTGCCCAGATACATCTGTAGCGGCATGATGAGCAACATGAACAACACCCCAAACACGGCAGCGATTCCAATCTGCAGATTTAAGTGGATGTTATCAGTTTCTGGGGAGCGGGACTTTGCTTACCTGCTGATACATCAGGTATGTGACGACCAGAACTTGAAGTGGGCCCACCCATAGATAGTGAACGAAGTAGGATGAACTGTCCAAGCGGGTGATGTCGTTGGAAATCAGGTTAACCACATGGCCCGATGTAGTGCCGCCTAGTGCCCCCTTGGTCAGGCGCAGGGCCTTCCGGAAGATCATGCTGCCCATGGCCACCCGCATCTTAAAGCCTGTAAAATGATCAGCAATGATGTAAAATGAATCCGTTTACATACGTGTAGATGGCAGACTCACACACATGATGTATGCCGAATTCGGTTGGAGCGGAGATCATCACGCTTAGGGCACTGACGAGGATCTGAGCGACTGCATAATAAAAGCCAACACCGACAGCTCCTGAGTCGCCCGAAAAGTACGAAATGAGCTTCACCAGGAAGATCGGCTGCAGAGTACGTAGTCCCAGCTCGACCCCAAAAATTGCCAGACCACGGACTCCGATTTGCCAGCCAAAAACCCGCAGCAGAGCTCTGAGCAGTTTTGGGGATCCGCCTTCATTTTTCAGTTCCTGGTCCCAAGAGGCACACAATTTGTTGCCGAGTGTATCTAGAACGATTGCCAAGGATTAGTCACATACATGTTTTATTATTAGTTCGGATTCGTGTACTTCTTACCCGACTTCTGCTCCTCCAAGGGTCTATAAAGGTCGTTTGAGTCCAAGGTTTTTTTGTAACCCTTTCGAAATATGGGTATAGTATACCTGTTTTGATGCATTATTGTTGAGTCACAAATCATTTGAATGTAAGACTTACTTACCAAAAGCATAAGGTCGATAGAAAATTCGATCGCTCTCGCGGATTTTCCGGAAGGACTTTCTCTACAGTAACAAAAATAGAGTACAATCTTAGGATCATTACTTATGATTAATATCATAGGGATAAATTCGAAGACATCATATAAATTTTGATTCTGTTGAAGCTGGCTGATTAAATGGCTCTCGAAGTAAATTAAATATGCTGTTATTAAATAAACCAAAACTTTGACTTTTACCCTTTTCATTCTGAGCAGAATCAACTTCTGAGCTTTTGTTTTTGCAGTGTTCGGTCTTGTGTCCAAGTTCGAAGCATTTTCGGCATATGAGCGGCAGAGAATTGTTAGCTAACAAAGATTCATCTCGGCTTTTTTTGGTCAAGTCGACCTCACCGTCACTACGGCTATCGAATACTTTCTTTTCTAGAAAAACAGATTCTTCTGGTGATGTATTCTCCTTTCCTGAATCTGAATTGAATGTTGGTTCCAAAACAGATTGCTTGTCCATGTTCGGTTGTTCAATGTGTTTCAATTTCTTTTCAGGCTTTTGAAGTATTATATGCACGTTTATTTTCGCGATTTTGGGCCCATAGCACGTCTTTACTCGTCGAGTTATGGGCAGATACGGAGCTTAGAATTCTCAATCTCACGAATAAGATAACCTCCGCATGCCGAAGTTTTTATGCCCTTTAAGGCAAGTCTAAGATGTCTGGTGTTTACGCCAAGATATGTGGTTCGACTCATGAGCAATGCTAACATGGCTAGATTAGATTAATGTGATGGTGCTGTAAAGACAATATGTTTCTACCGAAAACCGAGAACCGAGAATGTAAAATGATTTTATGGCACACAATCTTTTCACCTGGAGCTTTTCAAAAGCCAGAGAGAGGGAGAGAGAGAGAGAATGATAGGGTGATAGAGTGATAGAGGGCGCTATCTTTTACGCATACACGTGGGCAGTGTATGTGCGCCGCGAATTCTTAAGCATTGTTGTTGCAGTTAACAATTTATGCGTGCGGAGGGTGCTCGTTTTTTTGGCGCCTCCAAATTATGTTGGCTTGACCATGAGAATCTCTATAACCGTCAAGATCTGTTAAAGCGTTGCCTAAAATTGGTGATCAGACAGACGACTTGTGAAATTCCTGTGTGGGCAAGTTAACTTGCATAGTCCTTGCGTTTGTAAAATGTTGTTTTTAACTCATTTATTATTATTATTTTTTAATTAATGAGGTAAATGTGGTAAACCACAGCCATTTATGTGGAATACCACTTGGCGTGTACCCCTTTGTATGTACATAAGCATTCTGTGAAGGTTACCTGATAGTCGACTTACTTTTAATCACCTAGTTTTTAAGTTTATAGTTTTAAGGTAGCCATGCTTTTTTTTTCTTTGGTTCTGGTTATTCGGTTTTTGTTTGTACGTCGTCTCGTCCGCGTAATTTACCGCATCTTACTTTTGTTGCGCCTTTTTTCAGTAATTTCAAAATGTAGTCCCTCCAATTTAGCCCAGTGTACGTGGACAGATTTGTTAATATTTAACAGCGAAGTTTGCCGAGAACTGCGTCAAACGGCAGTTTCTGAGTTCTAGCCACTGCAGTGTAACTGACCTATTGGCCAACTTTTGGCCAGCGCCTGTTAGCGCTCTGTTAACCGGGCTCCCAAGGCTTTCGGCCCACTTGCTGCCGCATTGCTGTTAGTGGTTACATTCCTGCTGGTGTTAAAATTGATGTTAACTTCCCCGCCCACTCACTTTCGATTTCAGTCGCAGTTCGAGGCTCAAAGCGTTCGCAGCTGTTGCGGTGAGATTGCTCAAACGGGCTCGGATATTAATAACGTGCTAGTCGGACATCGAATTAAATACAACTTAGGCTCGTCTCAAGTTTGGGAGCCTCGAAGATGTAATATGCCATATTAAATGGCGCGTGCTCTCCAAATGAAACGCCAATACAAGTGCGTTTAGGTAGGATGTAAATGTTGATGTATTCCCAGGATACTTTGGGCCCGCCATTAGCCAACTTGCTTGTATAAATGTACATGCATATGTATATGTGTACGTGTGTATATTTACATGTTTTTACGCACACAGCACAGCCGACAACAACAGCTTTTTGGAGGCTGCGCGAATCGGCCATTTTTGGTCGGCTTCCATTCTTTGGGCCCCAATTTCTCGGCAACATGTGTTCCCTCTGTGTGCGTATTTAATATACAATTTTTCTATGGGCCGTAGGCTTTGAAGTAAACGCAAAGCACTAGGAGTGCAGAGCAGGCAGAAGAAGAGTGTCCGTAAAATCCGTCTATTATAATGCCCGGAACGCCTGGCATAAACATAAAGTAAGAGTTTTCCGCTTGGGCAGCGGACGCAGCACCATGAAATGTGCTCTCAACAAACAAAACATACCAAACACACCGCGAGAAAGGAGAAACACAAATCGCATGCCTTTGAAATAAATAAACACGAAGTTAAATTTATTTAGTTTAAGCAAATAGCATATCCTGTTCCACCTTATGGCGTTCTAAGTAAAAATATCTGTGTGGAGTTCTTGGTTATTACTAAATTCCCTAATTAATTTCCGAAATGTTGAATATTAAATGAGCTTCTGTTGATATAAATAATGTGCAATTTTTTTGATTTAAATAAATGTGGAAAATGTCTTCAAAAAGTTGCACATGCAGTTTTTCCCAATGTGTTACAAAAACTACAGACTACTTAGGAGCGTGGTCCGTAAACGGAGAGCGCCCAACCACCCACCCACACTTACACTTACACCCACCACCAGCACCACCTATTCCCACCCACACACATGCGTAGAGCAGCAACAAAGTTGCGATAGAAAACAGATGCTTCAAATATGCAACAGCGTATAAATAACAGACTAAGGCTAGCCAGATTGGCCGAGTGCGATGCAGGTGTCTCTGTTATTAGCACTGACCTATAGTGTTAGCTTAGCAGAGGCTGTTAGGCGGGCAGCGGCGCTGACGGCGGCAGCGACGCGGGCAGAGGGCAGAACTGATGCCAAGGGTAATTCAGTGTTGGGCGAGATTTCCATCAGTGGACACGCCGTCGTCGGTTAACGCAGGCTTTCCCGAGCCATACCACAAAAAAAAAAAAAAATAAAAAATAAGCAAAGGAAAAAGACATCGTGTTGGTGTGAGTGTGTGCTGGTGTTGGTTGCCTCATAAAAGATTCAACAGCCTGCCGAGTTAACAAATAAATAAAAAAACGTGTGTTAAAGAAAAAAATTAAATAAATAATTATACATAAATAGCGTAAGAAAGGCAGCACAAGTTAGTGCAAAAAGTGTAAAACAAAACAAGAGTATGGTGAGAGGCCAGAGCATCGATAAAACAGAAAGCGGAGCAGCCTACAATTGAATAAAAACAATCAAATTTTGGATGAAACGAAAATTAACAACATAAAATTCGACAAGGGCAGTAAAAAGGAGACTCCGTGTCTCTTTCTCGCCCGCTCTCCCCACTTGGAGTAGTCCCCGAATATAACGGTAATAAGCAAGCGTGTTTCGGGCAGCATCCTTGTGTGTGCGTATGGAGTTCTGTGGCTCCATCTGCGCCCGCTCTCCCTTCTCGCTCCGCTTTCCCCTCTTCTTCCCCTCTTCCCTCTGGCCGACTCATCTTTTGCGTTTGTTTGCTGCAAGACATTTATTTGCTCTTTAACGTTTCAGCAGCACCAGGCCTGTTTCGTTCCGGCATTCTTTCTGTCGTTCTCGTCCTCCGCTCGTTCCGTTCCCTCCATTCCAGTCTTCTCTGCGCCTCTTCCGCCCCCTCGTCCCCTCGCCCCATCCCCGCGCTGCGTCCTCTCGCTCTTTTCGGCTCTGGCATGCCGCAAAACAGTTAGTCCAACACTCGAGTCTCCGCGTCCGTGTGTCTGCGTGCCTGTGTTGGTGCTTGTATGTAGAGCGAATGCGAAAAAAAATACAGGGCAACTTCATATATCTGCAACTCCCAACTTTGAAATGTGAATAATTTTAAGTTCTTTTAAAATTGTAAAAATTTTACCTTACGCCCTCTGCCGAGTAATTAGCTTCAATTTAAGAAATTAATTTTTTTCTGTATTTATAATCAGCTAGGTATTATTTATATATATTATACTTTCTTTAAAGTTGTATATATAATATATACCTCGATTTATATTTTTTACTTTCCCTAACTAACTAAAAATGACTACAAATTGATAAGCTAGATAAGAACTACTTGCATTCTGCAATCTGATCGGCAGAGCTGCGTAGACGCAGAAATTCAACAATTCAAAAGTTCAACTCCAAAAGTTCAAATTAGGGTGGCCGCACTGTATTACAAATTCGCCCACACAGATACGGAGTGTACATGTACATTCAACAATTTGCTGGCTCCCTTTGCCTGGCGATTTTATTTTTTTCGTCCTTTACGCCCACCACTTGCCGTTTTTCCTGGGATGCTGGATTCTGGCAGGCTGGGAGCCAACGTCAACAAGTTGAAGCTGTTGCCGCTGTCCAGCTAGCCTCGTTAGTACGAGTGGCTGTGTGTGTGTGTGCGTGAGGGGCGCCCCCAAGTATGCCGCAGATAAGGATAAATCATAAGCTGGCCAGGCCTGCTAAGTTCATTTTGGTGTCGCAAAGTGACGAGAATCGATGCCAATGTCATTTGTTAATTAAAAAATTCCTTGGCTGGCGCAGCAATCCTTCCACACGATTAGCCATTTATCTGGGCCCGAGAGGAACGGATCTTAATTAAAATGAATGCACAATTAATTGTCAGACAGCAGGCCCGAGCTATAAACAAAGCCATGTGTGCGTACATTTATGTACGAGCCATATGTAAACAGAGTTTTGTAAGCAGCACAAACAGCTGAAATTCCAAGTCTTTGAAGTGAAATTTGATTAAGGTGTTTATACAATACAGCGAAATACCAAATCAGCGCAGAGTAGGAAAGGAAAATGGGACCACGAAATACTTATATTTACCCATCGATTCCCACTCGACCGAAATGCCTGGATTTGGCCTCGATTTTGTCCCCTGACTGCCCAAAGATGAAGTATGTACGTAGGAAGAAGTTGAGCTTAAGAGGAATTAGGGGGATGCAAATGAATATAGGAATCTGGGTAATGGTAAATTTACTTTTCCCTTTGTGGTGTTCATTTTACGCATTTTTTAATTACGTACTGGGCCAATCAAAGCACTTTATCAAAGCTGACCAACCCTTCCAAACTCCGTCGCCCTATATCTATCTAGCTATCTGAAGCTGACACATCATTAAAACTTTTGGTAACAGATGCCAAAGCGTAGATTACCCAAAGTGAACACTGAGTGTAGAGAACAATTTAACACATCTTTGGGGCATTGCCTTTTTCCAGCTGCACTGGATTTTTGGCATCGGCTTTGGAACATCAATCTCTACGATTTAGCTGGAAAGTGATTGGAAGCCAACATGTCGTATGGACCATATCACAAAAAAGTTGAAACTCTTGGCGATGATGCCTAAGCTCTTGGCTCGTTCATTATAAGCTGTTTTCTGTTCTTTTTGTTGGCCATTTTTGTTGTGGCTCCTGCAGAACTTTCCCTCCGAATTTTTTCCTTTCCACTCAATGTGTGTGTGTGTGCGTGATGTGTGTGTGATATGTATGCATGTGACATGTCTGACGTCTCATTTTCTGCCGCATAAACCCGATGCTGGGATGCTGGATTTTGCCTTAATTTGGCATTAGGGCGTTTCAATGGAAACTCATTTGAAACATTCTCTCGCAAATCTGTGCATAGGCTTCCTGTGCACCCATCAAAAAACCTTAATATTTATATGCGCATATTCGTGGCATTGTGTGTGTGTTTTGCGCCTGACCGAGCACTGCCTCAATATTATTTTTTTCGGCCCGGTTCTGGATGAGAATACGGCAGATGTTTGCCCAGGCTGCGGACCAATGTATATACGGATGTATATGAGGTATGTACTTGCCACAACGCTGTTGTGTTGGCGGGATAAATAATACATATAAGTGAGTATAGTATATGGCTTGCGCGTATCGGCCAAACTTCGCTCCTCTTCGCAGAAATATTGGCTTTCGGAGTCCTAAATCATCGATATTCTCGTATTCTCGTTTTGTCGCGGTCCCATTTATCAAGTATTTTCAAACCTTTGGGCCATATTGAGCATGCTAACCTCGCACATATCCCAGCTGACCGATTTTTGAACATTAAATCGGCATTGACATTTTGATCCGTATTTTACATACGCACTTGTCGTGCCTAATTGATGAGCTCGGCGGATACCTTATGCAGAATATACTGGCCATAAATCATTAGCAAATCATAGCATATTCAATGCAAATTGCATGACCTCTTTTGATCTTGCCCCCCGGTTACATGTAAAATTACGAAAAAAAAAAGTGAAAACTAGGCTAGAATGAACAGCAAATTGTGCAGTATTGAATTAGCCAGCCATTCTGCGGCTTGAATGCGGTTTGCGGGTTGGCCTTGCTAACCAGCTGGCTGCCTCTTGTCTTCGGCAACTATTTTCCGTAATTCCATTTGCTCCGAGCACGTTGGCAGACAAAATGCAATTAGCATTAACAAGGATGGCAGCTTCAGCTACGAAACCCTTGAAGCCAACCCTTGCAGCCGGACAAAAAAGGCAAAAAACCATTTGGGCCACAATTTAAGCAAACATTTAATCAAACAGAACGCTCAAACCAACACGATTTAAGTTTCTCTTTAAAGTGCGCTCGATATTTGAACTACTCGGATGGGGAAATTCCAATTAAGCTAAACCAACATCAGCATTTACATTTGATAAAGTCAAATACAAGCGGATTAAAACGAGGGAAATTCAGGCTATATAAAATATCTTTGGCAGCACCCATTGGATAAAGTTATTGGCTTAAATAACAGAGCAAGATTGATAACTGAGATTATTGTAATTAGGCAGGTGTAATTTAGTACACTATTGTTTTTGACTTACTTTGTTTAATAATTTACTGAAAGTTTCAGGTTAAATGGGTTCTCTTTTTGAAGTAAAGTTTTGGTTGGATTTAACTTCTGTAAATAGTCAACATTTTTCAATGAAGGCTTGAAGCAAATTAATTACAAAAATAAAGGAAAAAGTTTTTGCTATCTTGAGATCTTGCTATAACAAGATTCGTGAAAACTAAATTTTAATAAATTGTTAAAGTTTGGCATAGCCTAATAAATAATTTCTCCCCTGGCTTAGTTGGGATATACCAAGGATAAAGCCTGGCACCAGTTGATGTTTCTCTGCTGAAATTAAAATGAACTATTCTGGCTTGACCCACTTTCAGCTGGTTTGTCTTAAGTCCGGCAGCTGAAACCTCAGCAAAAGCGAGTAAGTCAACTGCCAGAATTTCGGCATTAGGGATTCACAAAGATGGGCAAAAGAATTCCCGCTGAAAATGGCGAAAAGTTTCCTAAAGGTGTTTAACAGGTCGCAAGTTTTAGACAGCTGGGGAATGCAACTGTTGCACCAGAGGGCCTGCAAAGTAATTGTCATGCACCTGCAAGTGCCTGCAGCATATGCATATTTGTATGTGCAACTGGCTCTCCAAGTGCCCCACAAATGTTGCTCATACGTCGCGTGGTACGGCCAACAATTTTCCGTGCCAGCTTGGCGGAGAGACAACAAACCACAAATTGACATAGCTGCGTTGAAGTGCGTGTATGAGACTGGGGAAATACACTGAAAAAATACAATATGGCTCAATTTTGAAATTGAATAGTATACAAAATAAAAATATCTAAATTAACAATCTTATATGCCCTTGCAATGCATGGGATGAAAATTCAATACAAAATGTATATATGCATTCAATAAGTTAAACTATGGAATTAAAGATAAAGATTTGAAAACGTTTTGTCATTGTAGAATATTTTTGCTAAGGTTATTATGGCACCACAATGCCATTTACATATTCCTGGGCCTGGATTTCAGTGGAAGAGCGAAAAAATTCGCACATATTTTAGCCTTTTTGCATTGAAACATTCCGAATCAAAAAAATTACAGTTCGTGTTTGGCTGAGTGCGAAAAGTGCGGGGCAACATGACATTGACTAACGTGCAACGTGGCAGCAAAAACTGACACACACACACTTTTGCGCCCAAGCAGCAGACACATGCAAGCCAACAATTTGCGGCGGTGAAATTTAACACGAACAATTTAATTTCAATAAAAACGCACACAGCGACGCAACAGCAATAACAAAGCGAGTGCAAAGACAAAAGGATTGCTCATACGACACGTGTTCTGTCTGACTGTGAGTGGGTGCGATTGTGTGTGTGAGCAGTACTTGTGTGGCTGTGTTGGTGTGTTGTTGTGTTGGTGTGTTGGTGTGTTGTTGTGTTGTTGTGGGCGAGCAACGTGCATAAATGCAATTTAATTTAATTGCTCGATCTTTTCCACCTGGGGATTCTGATGTTGATTTGCCACCACGCGCTAATCTGTGGCACGTAATTCAGGATTAAAGTGTCAAATAAACTATTCCATTTCCCTCCACTTTTGTTA